CCTCAATTCTCTTAAAATATTATTATTATATTATTATTATTATTATTTTTTTTAAATGATTTGGGCGGTGCATATGGGGCGACACCGCCCTTTTACTTTCTTTTTTCTAATAATCCCCCACAAAAGAGAAAGTAAAGGAATACACATATATACAGACTCTTGTGCTCAATCCTCACAAAACTCTATTGCATCAGAAAAGGTAGCTTTTGGCTTTGAACCTTTCTTAGTAAACATCATCGGATGCACTGGCGGCCTAGTGGACATAATGTCTTGAACTATTCCTCCATAGTGTACACCAAGACAATGACATTCACACAATAGAGTTTTAACTCCATTCCGTTCTATCGTTGTGTCCGTTTTGGCCATGGACAACACAATGGATTCATAAGTGTTTACATTTGAAGCGGCCCACACTTCACACTTATATAGGTGACCTCCCTATCAAGAGTATCATGTAATACTCCACCTTTACAAGGTTAGAGATTCATTAAAAGTCCAAATGCCTTACCCTCACCACAATCAACAAGTAATCTTGCACTTGGTGTGCTATAGGGAATAGCTAAGGACATTCATATGTTCCAAGTGCTCAACCGAATTTTCATAGCTTAGTTTTCCCTTTGAACCAAGTTCGTGGGATCTCCACTCACCATGGTAGGGTTACCACTATGATCATTCTTCACATTGTGGATTTTTAAGCCCATTCCCTCTAGCAAAACTGTCAATTGATCTCTATTCAATCTTTTCGTCAAAGGATCAGCCAAATTTTCCTTAGACTTCACATAGTCAATGGAAATAATATCATTTGTAATCAACTGACGTACGGTATTATGTCTACGACGAATATGTCTAGACTTGCCGTTATACAAGTTGTTTTGCGCCCTACCAATAGCAGCTTGGCTATCACAGTGAATCATCACATGCGGCAAAGTCTTATCCCAACATGGAATATCAGATAGAAAATTTCTAAGCCATTCGACTTCTTCACCAGCTTTATCTAAAGCGATGAACTCCGATTCCATCGTTGACCGAGCTATACACGTTTGTTTTGTGGATTTCCACGAAACTGCACCTCCTCCAATACAGAAAACATATCCGCTAGTGGAGCTAGAATCTCTCGAATCTGATATCCAGCTTGCATCACAATACCCTTCAAGTACAGCTGGGTATCTCGAATATTTTAACTCGTATTCAAGGGTGTACCTCAAGTACTTAAGTACCCTTCTCAAAGCATTCCAGTGCTCATGACTGGGATTGCTCGTAAATCTGCTCAACTTATTCACCGGATAGGCTAAGTCTGGTCGTGTACAATTTGTCAAATACATCAGACTCCCTATTATCCGTGAATATTCCAACTGAGCCACTTGTTGACCTTTGTTGACTTCCAGATTTATATTGAGATCAAGGGGTGTCTTACACCTAGACTGTGCACCGTCATAGGTATCAAATTTCTTGAGCACTTTCTCTACATAATGAGATTGTGACAAGACAATTCCATCTTGGGTTCTGATAATTCTTATTCCAAGAATAACATCAGCCAAACCCATATCTTTCATGTCGAAATTTCTTTTCAACATTCTTTTTGTATCCATGATCACTTCATGGCTACTCCCCATGATCAACATATCGTCTACATATAGACATACAATCACAAATGTATTTGATGTACCCTTGACATAAACACATTTATCACATTCGTAGATTTTGAAATCATTTGTCAACATCACGTCATCAAATTTCAAATGCCATTGTTTCGGAGCTTGTTTCAGTCCGTACAAGGATTTGATCAATCTACACACCTTTCTCTCTTGTCCAGGTGCAACAAACCCTTCAGGTTGTTCCATGTATATTTCTTTTTCCAATTCACCATTCAAAAATTCCGTCTTGACATCCATTTGGTAAATCTCAAGATTGTGCAAAGCAGCAATCGAGAGAAGCACTCTTATCGACGCTAAACGCGTAACAGGTGAATAGGTATCAAAGAAATCATACCCTTCCTTTTGTTTAAAGCCTTTTATCACCAAACGTGCTTTAAACTTATCAATCGATCCATCAGCTTTATATTTTTTCTTTA